TATTAATAATGTTTTAAAATATCAGAACTTCCAAAGTTTGGGTTTTATACGTAGAAAAAGCTATTTTCTAACTGTGAACACTCAGAAAATGTTATTTTTGTCTATTACCGCTTCCTAAAGATCAGAGGTAGCAAAAAACAGTATCATAATCTTGTTTCTTGTGACAAAATATTAAAGAAATCTAGTTATTATTAGAAATCTGATCAAGGAAAAAAGTATTTTCTCCTTTTCTTAAAAATTTGCACAGAAACTGCACATTAAAAAATACAGAAAAGGATTAAATAACGGCAAACAGGTAGAGAAGCAATGGGAGGCTGACCTGTGCATGTCCTCTGTCTTACCATCTAGCAAAGCTTTGAAAAAAAATTGTAGGCTTTTTTTCTGGAAATTAAATTACTTTTTCTTTCCTTAGGTATTTTATTATGTTAACTGCATATGACTCAATCTCTTAATCTATTTCATTATCACTATTTTCAAAAAAGCATCTGTTCACGAATATAGGCCATTACTTAGTGAACATTTCAGGGAGTTCTTGATCATACTTTATGATGAAAATGTTTTTGACTCTTGGAAAATTTCTCATTGTACACATACTACTGTGAGATTTCTATCCATATCTGAAATAGAATATATTTCTCTAAATATACACAACATACAAGACTCATTCTATTGGCAGCTGCATCTGTTTACTATCTTTACAGTTAGAAAAAATAGGGAGGGAGACACATACACCCTTCCTCAAAGCTATACCCAATTGTGTTAAAATAATGTATATATATTTTATTTTTATCGTGTAGGTTGAGATTATTTTTCTCTTCACAGTCATTTACATTTCAGGTTCTATCTATTTCATATGCATTTTTTGATAATGATATGTCTGTGCTTTGGTAACCTGGATGAAGATGTGCTGTTACTAGCTACATATTAGCAGCCTTAAGAATATATGATGTGTTTTCTGCAGTCTAAACTTATTTACTATCATTTCCCCACGAAAGATCTTTATTTTTAAAATTGCGACCAAGTCTTTTTGCCCTGTGTTGTATGTTCTGAAAATGAGGAAAACTGTCCTTTATTTCCCCTGAAAGCGCTGTACTTCAGAGTGGCTACCCACCAGAACAGCATCAGCTGCTGAGATTGTAGGGACCCAGATTATCTCTACTGCTCTTCTTCTCTATCTTAAATGTCGATTACATTATTATTTTTCTTCTTAATTTTTTTTCTTTCTTTGGGACCTTAACAAAATTATGTAGAAGTCATCAAGTAATTGGCATATTCTACCACGTGCTTGGATGTTATTTCTTATATATAAATTGTAGTTCCTAATGCAGATTGATATATGGTCAATGACTATTACTTAGAAGAAGTTTATTTCATATATATAAATAATTTTTAAGTACATGTGCAATAAGTATAGATAACACAAAGGTTAACAGCCAAGGAAATGAAAACAGCATATTAATCAGTTTTACTTCTGTTTCTGATTTTACATCTAGTATTAAACCTCATCATAAGATACACTGTTTAACATCTCTATAAAGAAATTGATAGAATCTTTGTCAAGCTAGGAAATATGAAACTAAAATTTCAATGTACCTGTGAAGCTTATATCATGACTTAGATATTTGTGGAAAAAGCAGTAGCTTCATTAAAATAAAGTTGGACTTAAAAAACTAGAGAAGTTGTGTTATATGCAGACAGCTACAGATTATAAAGGTAACTTTTGTGGAAGAAAATGAACAAGGGACTTGCAACACAACAGGGCAAGGCATAAGTTCTGTTTTCTGGTTCCTAGTTTTGATAAAGTGTGTGTCCTTGGGCAAATTATATACTTCTCCGAGAACACCTCCAGATTTATTGTGGGATCCATTAGACTTAGAGCTGTTCAGTGTCAAAGACTTGACCTAATTTAACTTTATATTCCCTGTGTGTATGTGAGAGTGTTTTGCAAAGTACTCTACAAGTATAAACACTGTTAAGTATGTATTCTCTCAGCTTCCTGTATTCGTTCTTAAGTAGTAGTTATTTTAACTGATAGCAATAGAAAGTCTCAGCTTCCTCATAGACTTTGTTTGTTTCAGTTTGTTCATTTGTAAACAAAAAGTTAAATGCAGGACCTGCTAGCTGGCATAAAGCCAAGCATGTACAGCGCTCATTGTAATAATAATGGCTTGTCTTCAGAAACAAAGGATTGTATCATATTTTGTGAGTTTTGAAGGGAGTAGGTGAAATATATTTTTCCCACGGAAATATTGCTGCAAGTGGTGGCTTTGTTCCTAGGCTACTCTGCGTATTTCTGTTTAACTCATGTACCTTAAACTTATAGTGGTAAGGAGACAGTCCCCAGTTTTAGACACTTATAGGCCCAGATATATTTTTAATCACTGAATTTGTGAGAACCTCACCACATGTTTCAAGTAGGGGTTATAAGAACATGTTTTGCTACTCATCCTTCCTTTCTGCCACGCACAAGCAGTGGCATAGAGGGATAGAGTAGGGATCAGTCCTGTGGGTTCCAGAAATTTGCTTACTCTGTGGCTGCAATAAAAGAAGACAGTTCTCTAGATTGGGAATTCAAAGTCAGAGGCAGAAAGTTATTCCTCTCTGGTGTCATGGTTGAAGTCTCCAAATTCAAGTTTACTGTTGTTCATTCAAAAGAATGGTTTGCAGCCATGAGCACCCATAGCACCCAGATTCTAATCTTTAAATGCCATTTCCCATCTAAAGAAACCAAGATTTAAATTGAAAAAAAAAAAGAAATGGCTGATTCCAGGTTTGATGCAGAAAAATTCTAAGTTGAAATGAGACATCTTATTGTACCAAAAGCATGAGGCTTACTAAACACTTCTGAGTTTATGTCAAAGGACACAGCAATCAACTTGAAAGGGCTACCACTAGTAACAGAATGAAGTCATTAAAAAAAAACTTTATTTTGAAAATTTCAAACATATACAGAGGAAAGAGAAGCTTGTAAAATCCTCGGGAGCCTTTTATGTAGCTTTCACCGATTATCAATTCATGCCAATCTTATTACAGTCTCAGCCCCACCTATGCTGTCTCTGCACCATTAAGTTATTTTGAAATAAATACCCAAAAGCATATCATTTAATCTGGGAATATTTCAAGATATATGAGAATATTTCAAGATCCTGTCCCAGTTTTTCAGGTTATTGGGTAAAAGATAAGGACTATTTTGAAAACATAATCATGGTACATTTCAAAGATGGAACAATTTGAACATCAAGAAGAACTGTAGTGGATTGAACAGCATCAAATATCTACTGATAATGGTAATTTAAAAAACCTCCATGACTTGCCTTTAGAAATTGTTAGGACACTAACTCATCACTCTGAAAATTATTAAATAAAAGGAAATAAATCAAGGATTTGTCCTGTCTTTCCTGTACATTGTATTTTGGAATAGTCAAATAGTTGATAAGATAAAGCTCTTCTTTGTAGAATGCCAGAAAATAAATATAGAAGGAATGCTCTAGAAAAGCATAATTATTTAGCCCCTAATGAAATAGTGGATTTAGCCAGTGGTTATCATGGAATGCTAAAACCTTCAAGTCAAAAGTTGATTAGGAAATGTATAATGGTTGGCTCAACGAATCATACCTGAAATCATTAATCAATCTTAGTACCACCAAAAATGAGATATTAAAACATTATGTGCCTATACATGTGATATAGTAAAAATTCACATATCAATACCCATGGCCCAAAACAAAGGAAGATGGAAAATTTCTTTTTTCATCTTTTTTCATCCTAGCCTCAGTTTCCTGAGGCTAGGCTTCCAGTTGTAGCTACCAATTTATAGTAAATGAGGACAGGGTATAGGAGAGGGAAGGTTGAACTGAGTCCCCTGAAAGAGACTTAAGAAACACATCAACCAAATTCAATATTAACTCTGTTGGGAGTCTGATCCAAAGAAGCGAACTAAAAAATCTGGGGAGCAATAGAGGAATACGAATTTGGCCTGAGTAATATCAGATATAAAGAATAATTATTAATTTTCTAAGTATGATAATGATATTTTGGTTATGTTAAAAAAAATGTTTAAAATATATAGTGAAGTTCTTCAGGTGAATCAGTAGGTTGCCTGGGATTTGCTTCAAAAACTGATTCAAAGTGTGACACCCAGAGTCACTAGTATTGACCTCACCTAAGAGCTTGTTAGGAATGCAGAAATTCAGGCCCAGAAACACTGTAGAACCAGAATCTACACTTTTACATTTTTATATGTCCCTAAGAGATTTGTACGCACATAAAGATTTGAGAAGCACAGCTTTAAAATACTTGGAGTAGAGGAGAGTGTGGGTCAGGGATAAAAGAAACAAATTGGTAAATACTGATAATTGTTGAAACTGTGTAATCGGTGCATGGGGGTATGATAAGTCAAGTATTTCTAAATCAGGGCCTGAAAGACTATGTGACTGTGCGTATGTATTCAGTCCAGTGATTTGTGTTTTTTGTTGATGTTTTTTATTCAATAGGTGTTGAGACAAATATACCTTATTGCCTCCTTTTCTTCCTGTCCCAGTTTGTCAAGTTATTGGGTAATATTCAAAAACCCTGAATGTATATTTCTTGCAGGCGTGTTTCTTACCAAATCACGTCGTTTCTTTGAAATTTGCTAGGGCCGGGCGCGGTGGCTCACGCCTGTAATCCCAGCACTTCGGGAGGCCGAGGCGGGTGGATCACGAGGTCAAGAGATCAAGACCATCCAATGTGGTGAAACCCCGTCTCTATTAAAAATACAAAAAATTAGCTGGGCATGGTGGTGCGTGCCTGTAATCCCAGATACTCAGGAGGCTGAGGCAGGAGAATTGCCTGAACCCAGGAGGCGGAGGTTGCGGTGAGCCGAGATCGCGCCATTGCACTCCAGCCTGGGTAACAAGAGCGAAACTCCGTCTCAAAAAAAAAGAGAGAGAGAAAGAAATTTGCTCATCAGCGTTTTTTTAAACTGCCAATGCCAATTTATTGTCAATCTGTCTCTCCAGGCATGCTTAAAAAGGCCTCTTAAGAGCCTTGATGGTGCTCTATATGATGATGATGACGATGATGACATTGAAAGAGCAAGCAAGTAAGTAATGGATTTTGGTGTCCTATGAAGCCGAACAGCCTAACAGCAGAGTAAAGGGTATTTCGAAGAATATGTGCCCCTAGAGCTCCATGTTGTTCTTTTACAGTGTTCTTCAGCAAAAGGACACAGTGCTACTTGGAATGTTGTGGGGGATATCTTGGGGCAGGAACTAAGATGAATCTTAAATATCTTGTTCTTGGAAAACAATAATGTCTACAGAGATATCTGGGACAGTGTTAGGGGAGATAGAAGTCCATCTAAATTAGGCTCTTACTCATTCTAAAGAGAGGAAGGTTAAATATCAGGAACGGTAATAATAGTCAATAGAAAGAAATGGAATTGAGGGCACAGGAGACTTAAACCTATGGTGATATCAGAAGATGAAAATTTATTAAAAGCGTTAAAAATTAATTTTAATATAAGGGAAATAATAGATGTTTAGCTTTTTACAGTTGATGTATGTAAATGACAAAATGAACATTCTTTTTTCTTCATTAAATATATTTCTATGTAAAGGAATATGCATTCTCTAAAGTAAGTGAATGGGGAAAGCATATTAAATATTGAAAGTGAATTTAGGCTATAGCAAACTTCCCAAGTAATTCAGTCTAATATTCCTAAGTTAAGGTTCCACATTGCACAAAATTAAACTGTGAAAAGCCCTACTTCTACTTTCAGTTTTATAAGCCCTACTTCTACTTTCAGTTTATAAGTTTTGTTTGTGTGTTCTTAATGCATGTGCAAAATATTTCTGTATTTGAATTGGTATATACATCACTATAAAGAATTTGGTCATGAACCAAATTGATCCTGTTGTTAACTCTCTTATTAAGTCTCTCGTTAATGTAATGTAATTGGTGAGAGATCACTTACATGCAGCAAATATGGTTCTTTACCTACTACTGCATGTTTTATTTTTCTTCAGGTTATCTTCTGAAGACGGTGAAGAAGCTTCCGCTTATCTTTATGAAAGTGATGACTCTGTTGAAACAAGAGTGAAGACTCCTTACTCAGGTGAAATGGACTTACTAGGAGAGATCCTTGATACACTGAGCACACACAGCTCAGATCAGGGGAAGCTGGCAGCTGCGAAGAGCTTGGATTTCTTTAGATCAATGGATGACATTGATTACAAACCTACGGTTAGTCAGTTTTTTGACTTATAAAATTAGAAGGAAATATTCTTGCCTTTGCTGTGTGTTGGTAGAAGCATTTAACCTCTAAATAGGTTAGGGTCAAAACTTTTAAAATATGATAAAATTTAATCACCAAAAATTATTTCTATTAATAAAATTCTAGTATTTTCCCTTTTATTTATCTAATTCTGGTGTTTGTTGTCATTAATTGAAATTATTTTGTCAAGCAATAATGTTTCTTTGCAATCCAACTTTATACTTGTCTCTGGGGAATTTTTAAAATGTGAAATTTCACTTTTCCCCCATATTTCCTGAGTTTAAAAAAAAAACTGTACTAAATGTATTCATTCAAATCATCTTTTTCTGTTTTATTACTTTCAAGATGAAGAGGATTTTACTTTTTAGCATGATTTTATGCAAATTCAACTGAATGCTTTAGAAACAGCAGAAATAGAATGAGTAATGACAGTCCTGTTCTAATTATAAGTGACTTCAGAACTTGGTGTTAATTATATAATCTAGTTTGAATTGGATAGGTGACAGCTGCTAGACAATGGAAACCCAAGTCCATTCCATTTCGTCCCTGTTAATAGAGCCATTTGGAAATGTTTAAAATTAACTCTCAAGGCTATATCTTCTCTGGGAGGAACTTAACACTATTAACATGTATTTCAAAATGGGAAAAAATATACTAAATTAAGGCTTATTAAAAGTTTTCTGAATTTGTTGTTTCTTTGTTTTTCAGAATACATCTAATGCTCCTAGTGAGAATAATCTGGCTCTCCTCTGTGGGGGTTCTGGTGACCAAGCAGAGTGGAATCTTGGGCAGGATGATAGTGCCCTCCATGGCAAACACCTCCCTCCATCTCCCAGGAAGCGGGTTTCCTCTAGTGGTTTGACAGATTCTCTATTTATTCTGCAAGAGGAAAACAGTGACAAGCACCTCAGTGCTGACAATGTGAGTGACCCTACTTCAGGATTGGATTTCCAACTCACTTCCCCTGACGTTTCCCAGACTGATAAAGGAAAAACCGAAAAGAGGGAAACATTAAGCCAGATTTCAGATGATCTGCTTATACCTAGTCTTGGGCGGCATTCATCTACTTTTGTTCCCTGGGAGAAAGAAGGGAAAGAAGCCAAAGAGACTTCAGAAGATATTGGACTGCTCCATGAAGTGGTGTCATTATGTCATATGACTTCTGACTTCCAACAAAGCTTGAACATTTCAGACAAAAACACAAATGGAAACCAAACTTAAATCTTGCATCCAAGCTTCTACGGAGACATTTTGAGATTGAATGCAATCTGCATAATAAACAGAATTATTTGTAGGAATGGCAACTCTTACTATTTAATTTTTTTTTTTGCATTTGGAACATTTTCCTCACTTGTTCGTTTCAAGGATATATGAAATGCATTGATTTTTAAATATAAAGCAAATTCTACTGTGCTTTTAAATCAGGTACTAGTTTGTATGTATGTTAAAAGTACGTATTGAACATAAGGTTTCCCAGTGTTTGGTGCTTAATGCCATTCATTTCATTTAAATTAACTTTGCATCTGTAACCCATGCACATAACCAGTAGCTACTATACTAATCTGGTTGAGCATGAACTGATCACGATATCAAAACTTATCAAAACTAGCCTGAAACTGATGAAACGTTAACCCACTAATTGCCTTAATCTTAAAGCTGTATTAAACATACTTAAATAATGTATGAAAGTATGTGTAAAGTTTGAAGGATAAGTTATTAGTGTTCTGCAGAGCAATAATGCCTTTTTCGATTCATCAAATCAAGGTCAAAATTCATCTTTTCAAGATTAAAAAGCTCTATTATGGAAATACGTAATTTGCTATATAAAGCACTATAGCCATGTTTTCCAAAAAGTATAAAAATATACGTTTACCTTTCATTCAGTGAAATATATGAAGTACTGAGTTACAATGTGAAGTTAATGACTTCTGTTTACAAATGAGACACTTTAGAAAGTTTTCACAGTCTCTCTGTATGCCTTTGCTATTTAGGGGTCCACCCAAGAAAGCCAAATACAACAAAAACTGGCCTGACCAAAAAAAATTCTTTTTTTAACTAATAATCTCTATCAGAATGCTTTATATTATCATCTGAAATTCACTTTTTAAAGTAATTGACTTTATAGTTTAGAAGTTTTAGATTTACAGAAAAATTGCAAAGATAGTACAGAGAGTTCCCATCTGTCCCTGTTATTATTAACATCTTAATAATACATTTGCCCCAATTAACTAACCAATATTGATAGTCCATACTTTATTCAGATTTTCTTAGTTTTCTCCTAATATTCATTTTCCACTTCAAGATCCTATTCAGAATCCCACATTATATTGAGTTGGAATGTCTCCTTAGGCTCCTCTTGGCTGTGACAGTTTCTTAGAGTTTCCTTATTTTTGATGGCCTTGACAGCTTTGAAGAGTACTGTCAGATGACTTGTAGACTGCTCCTCTCTTGGAGTTTGCTGGATCTTTTTTTTTTTTCATGATTAGACTGGGATTATGGGTTTTGGGGAGATGGTCACAGAAGTAAAGTGCCATTTTCATCTGGTCAGATCTAGGGTACATACTGTCAACATGATTTGTGAATGCTGACACAGACCTTAATAACCTGGCCGAGGTAGTGTTTGTGATTCTAAAGTTATTCCTGCCCTTTCCATGCTGTAGTTTTTGGAAGGAAGTCACTACATGCAGGAGTGAGGAATCATAATTTCCCTTCTTTAGAGCAGAGAAGTATCTACATAAATTATTGTTAATTCTTCTGTATAGAAAATTTGTTTCTTCTTTCTCAGATTCACTGTTGAGCTTTGGAATTCATCTGAGAAAAAATCATTTACTGATTACTTCATGATAGACAGATAAACAGGTATAATCAGGGGAAGAAAGCAGTGATAGTATGGTTACATTGTTATTAGCATTTTCAGTATATCCACTCTATACATCCCCAATCATCTTTTTTTTACATTTAAGACTGTATGTTCAAGAAATCATTGAAGAACCCCAATAAGATGACATTCTAAATATTTATTGAAAGAATATAATTTCAGTTAAAATCCTAGAAGAGGATTTGAAATAATTTAAAGAAAATTATTTAAAAATTATTTAAAATATTTAAAAATAATTTAAAAAATATTTTAAATAATTTAAAATAATTTTTAAAATATTTTAAATAATTAAAAATATTTTAATTATTTTTTAAAAATAATTTAAATAATGACCAAGGTTTTTTAAACCTACATTTCAAAATCTAAATGAATATGTGTTATTTGGTATACTTATTCATTATGACTATATAAGAAGACAAGTCTTGTTTCCCTTTATGGACTCTGTATGCATTAAGGAAAACAGTGTTTAATCCCTATTTTTTAATACAGAAGACTCTAGGTTCTTGTCAAATTTTGCCTTTATAAGCTTATTACAAAATTCCAACTTACTTTACTGAAGTTTATAATGGAAGAAGTCCATATATCAAAAGAGCTGTTTTAAATCAGAAGGAAAGGAGAAAAGGTTACTCTGGTTGTTAATCCGCTTGGCAAATATTCCTTCATGATTTGTGAAAAGAATGTAAATCAGCCTTTTAATATGACTTTTGAAATGAGGTATGGTATTTTGTGTTTTTTTTCAGAACTCAGAAGAATAACTGTGAGTATAGCATAAGGGCAAATCTGGTTTTTAGTCCATTTGCTTAATCAACAACATAGCTTCAGAAATCTAAATTTTGTTCTACCTTTCAGCCACCTTTCAAGGTGTTTGGTTACAATACTCTTGTTTTGGGGATATTTAGCCACTCCTTAGTAAGATAATGTCTTGAGGTATTTAAAAGTGATTTGTGCCTTTTTTTAATGCAAAATTAGCTGTTTTATTCTGTGTTAAAAACAAAAAACATCCAGAAGAATACTAGCAAGTATTTGTATTTCAAACCAGTAAAATTTTGAATATTCAAAGTCTGCTCTTAAAATTGGACTTTCTAGTATTATGGTGGATATAGTGAGAATAAAGTGAAATTGGGGTGAGTTCTGAAATAAACAAAAATTGTTATCTTATATTCTACAGTGCCCATATTTTCTATGGTAACTAAACCAAATATTTGTAAGCTCATCTGCTATTTGAAATTATTTTTCAAAGAAGCAACACCTGTTATTCAACAGAATCGTATAAACTAAAAAGACTTTTGGCCTTGGTTCATAGTCTTTATCTGGCCTGTAATGGAGTCATGGCTCTTTCAGAATCCCACTCTGACTTTTATTTTTTTACCCTTAGATAGTGCATCCGTGGTATTTCAGGGGTATAGAGAAATAGTATATGAATTTAGCAGCTATTTATTTTAAGTGAAAATATTACCAAATGGTATATTTAGATGATTACCTACTTTAACGTGTCTTAGAAAGGCACCAAAATATAGCATGATTATTTTTTCAGTTAATTAAAATTAGATAACATATTCATTTAAAAACTATTCATTGACTTTCATACCAGTTATATGCAGGATACAGTAGCTGAGGATGTGGGGAAATAAAATAACTGACGTAGTCACTGCTCTGAAGGAACAAATTAAAAGGAAAAGGAATTGCAAATTTTTATTAAAATAATAATAATAATGCACTTTGCCTGGAAGTTATTTGCTGAGATTCTAACACACACACAAAATGGTTTTAAAAAAAATCTAGCTGCTTAATTTAAAGCATGCTCTAAGTATGAACCCTAGTATCATTTCTAATTTTATTAACCTTCTCAATCATTATGCTAAATATTATGCTGCTAAGATATCCACATTTAAAGGGCAGATTCAGAGACTCTTTTAGAAGCTGAGTGTCTTATTATTAATCTTATTAACAGATAAACAGGCAGCACAGGGCTCTCTATAATGAAATTGTGCTCCTTTTCAATATTTAGAGCCACTGTACTCAGTTTAGGAGTAACTGAAGGTGTGGATGCATGTTAATGGGAATCCAATTTTTACTATTTTTATATGAATAACAGCGTTCTGTAGAAACAGTCCCTCCCTTTTAAATAAAAACTGTGACTGCTGTTACTAGAGCTATTCTATGCTAATATCCTAACAATAGGATTCAGGAATTCTAATGAATTAGTTCTTTTTTAATTAAGGTGAGCAACTAGATTTCCTGATCAACAGGAGAACACTGTGAATGTCTCAGTCGATAGACTTTCATTGTCTTGTAGAAAATTTGGATTTTTCAGGAAAAGATTCATTATTTTCATGAATAAATTTTCTTATACCAATTCTGTTTTGTTTGGCATAAAAGACCCTGAATCTTAAGATATTTGTAAATCAGAATATTTAAGAATGTTAAACGAATCCCAAAATCTAGTTTTCTCCAAAGTACTTCTTAATTTAGGAAATAGTTTTTACAAACCCTATGTCAGTACTAATGTCTCTTTCCTGGGTTAAGCCAAGTAATATTGTTAGTGTATGTTTCTTAAACCTTAAGAGGCAGACTGGTTTTGAGCAAGCCAGTTAACATGATTTGAGGAAGAAATAAGAAATTATGTACATTTAGACAGAAGAATATTTTATTTTGAAAATAATAGGATTTTGTGCAATATTTTTTTCTTGCATAACTTAGTTCATAAAAATATGTACATCTGGTTTTCTGGCAGATGCCTTAAGGTCATGTTTTTCAGTATTTGAGTAAATCTGTATGTAGCAATGTTCTTATTGATTTTAGGAAAAATATATTCTTTATATTGTTGCCAGGAGAAATGCTTTTGTTTATTTAAAATTATTATGGATATTGTGTTATTGTATCATAACTAACTGCCTCAGCAACAATAAATATGCAATAAGAAAATCCTGTACCTTAGATTAGTATTGATGATACTGTTACTTTAAAAGAAATATATACGGTACAAATTGCTGATTCTACATGTGTACATTTAACAGATACTCACTTCTGCACCACCTAAATTAAAATGGCATTTGTATGGTGAGTCCACATATGTAGATTGTATTATCCTTTGTGATGAATATTTGATAAGATTTATAAAGGGCATTGCCAATACTTTCTGACTGTGTAAATTAAGTTAATTTTTTGTATGATGTACAGTTTGTTTAACCTTAGAGCTTCTATAGATTTCTACTTTTATTATACTTGAATGAGGCAGAAAAGCACTGTGGAAAATATGTAGCTCTGGATGCAATATGCAAACATACCAAAAAATATATAAATAAACAAAACAAGGTACGGAAGAGCAATGTTAACAGAATGCTTTATATCCAGAATGCTATGTTTTTTTTTCAAGCCACATTTCAGTTGAAGTTATATAATCTTTTATTTTAAAATGTTGGAAAGTTACAAATGATTACCTCTTTGATATGATGAACCTATAAATCTATTCATGTCTGTGTTACTTCATTTCTCAAATGTGAGCCTTGTTGAAGTCCATAATCCAATCTACCTTTAGTTGATTTTATGATGTTTAGGACAAAGCAAAGTTTAAAAACTGTGCATGTTAAATGCATCACATGTCAAGTGACCATCCTTCAGGCAGTGTAACTTCCATAAGGTTATTTTGAGAACCACTTAATAATCATATTTGGAAAACTGGATTTCTTGAGTCTGTTACAATTTAGTACTTATAGCAGTGCCTAAAACAGCAACAAATATGAACTGCATGAGTCCTAGAACTTAAAATGCATAATGCTTTCTTATGTAAAAACCACAGGAGGGATTCAAAATTGAACTCTTCCAAAGTGTATTTCTCTTGCTTTAGATGAACTATTTGAAAGGACTGAAAAGCCTGAGCTTTTTGCTCATCTTGGTAGCAGGTGCCTGTAAAAACCTACCCAGATCTGTGATTTACTTCATTGTTCTTGCATCCTTGAGGCTACAGTGTAAATCATCTCCAGACTTGACTACTGCTGGGAAGACGTATATGAAAGCATCGCTTTGGGAATTTTTTAAAAAATATGCAAATAAAAATATTGAATAAACTCTACATTACCATAAAGCTCCCTACAATGCAGTTCTAAAATAAAATTGGTCACAATCTAAATTGTATGGTGATGACTCTTCTTTTATAATTGCCCAGTTATCCCCCAACAGGGTTCTAGCTGGACTGCTGTCAAAAATCCTGATACCTCTGTCTCTGAGCTTCGTAACTGCGGCAGTGTAAATTGAAGCCTACATCTTTTCTGACAGGCCTACCTGAGAAGTATACTTTATTTTATTCTTTTAGGTATAGTCAACAGATTTTATTAGGCTCTAAAGTCATAGGAGAATTGTTAAGTACTTAAAATGTCACGAAGAATATGAGTAAGACTATCCAAATCAAACAACTGTGTTTATTGACCCCATTTAAGGTTTAAGGACAGAGATGAAATGCAGTCAAGTGTACATGAACAATGCTCCAGGGACCAGAAAGATGAACTGCTCATCCAAGAGCTCTGATCATTTCACCTAATGCAAAGGTCAAATTCCCATTGAAATAAGCACGACATTTCCCTTTGGGTGCAGAATTTCTGGGAATAATATCCTCAATCTTTCTTATTTATATAGAAGAAGCAAAGGCCTGACAATAAGAAAAGAAATATTATCCCTGCAAGCCTAGGGTTTAGCTATTTTTTGTTGATTTTGATTGTTAAAACTTTGCCTGCTACCTTCACAGGGATTATTAATCTCATTACCTCTCATTGTCTCTGGATGAGAGGTCTGGTCACATCTGCATTTTATAGATGCAGAAACAAAAAACTCAGCTTGTGTTTACATAAAATATTCTACTTATAATAGTATTCTGGTAGTGGGTCTGGGAATTTCCTTTCCTAGAAATAACAATGAATTATGGGACATAAACAATTTTGTACATATATGGAAATATCACATTAATTGCAAAAACTAACAGTATATTTTGGAAGGTTCCAGATAGATAAGAATTCCCCAGATTCTGCCATTGATTTGGCCTTGTTACTTCATGCCCCCAAAGCATTATTTCTCTAAAATAAGTGTCTTCTTAGAATGAATTACTCAATATTTATTGAAAAAATTCTTTGAATTCATGGTGGTTTGGTGTGTACAACTGCTTTAGTTTGGATTTGTGTCCCTGCCCAAATCTCATGTTGATTTGTGATCCTCAATTACAATCTCCTCCAAGTGTTGGAAAAGAGGCCTGGTGGGAAGTGATTGGAACATGGGGGTGGATTTCCCCCTTGCTGTTCTTGTGATAATGAGGGCGTTTTCATGAGATTTGGTTGTTTAAAGTGTATAGCACCTCCCTCTTCTCTCTTTCGCTCCTTCTGGTCATGTCAGACAAGTCTACTTCCCCTTGCCTTCTGCCATGACTAGGTTTCCTGAGGCCTCCGCAGCCATGCTTACTGTACAGTCTGCAGAGCAGGTGAGTCAGTTAAACTCTTTTCTTTATAAATTACCCAGCTTCAGGTAGTTCTTCATAGCAATTCGAAAATAGTCTAATATAACAACCACAAAATATAACTATAGAATCTTAGATTTTTATCTCTTCCAGAGGCTCCCAAGCCTAGTCTTGCATTAGATTTACCTGGAGAGCTTTATTTAAAAAAACAAAAACCCCACAAAACAGAAAACACACACACACAACAAATGCCTGGGTCATGCTCCTAGAGATTCTGGAGTAGGTACTTAATTAGTCTTTTGTAGAGGTGAAGAAACTGAGATAGAAAAGGATAAATGAAATCCTTAATGTCCCATGCAGCAAATGACTAAGCGGGGATTTGAACCCCACAGCTGGGCTTTAGCCCCCTTGCTATTAGACAGAAGTACAGGATGGAACTCAAATGGCATGAGTAACATGACTTCCCTACACAACTTTCATTTCTATCTCAACTTTCTCCTACAAGTGTCAGACAATCCTTTTTTTTTTTTTTTTTTTTTTTTTTTTTTTAGACGGAATTTCGCTCTTGTTACCCAGGCTGGAGTGCAATGGTGCGATCTCGACTCACTGCAACCTCCGCCTCCTGGGTTTAGGCAATTCTCCTGCCCCAGCCTCCTGAGTATGGGATTACAGGCACGCGCTACCATGCCCGGCTAATTTTTTGTATTTTTAGTAGAGACCGGGTTTCACCATGTTGACCAGGATGGTCTCGATCTCTTGACCTCGTGATCCACCCGCCTCGGCCTCCCAAAGTGCTGGGATTACAGGCTTGAGCCACCGCGCCCGGCCGACAATCCTTTTTTTTACAGAATATTCTATGCAAGTTTCTTATTTGTTTTTTTTTTTTTATCTTGAGTACAGAATTTTCTAAACCTTTTTGGGAGTTTGCATTAATGTTCAGTTTCTTTTTCCCTCCCTTTCTCCCTCCTTCCCTCCCTTCCTTCCACCTACCTTCCTTCTCTTTCTCTCTCTCTTCCTCTCTCTTTCTTTCTTTTCTTCTTCACATTTACCAGTTTAGTCCGTAATCCCATCTCAAATAATCTGTCTTATACATACATGGTTTCTGCGGTATCTGTCTCCCCTTTCTTTCTCTTCCTGTTGATTGTATTTCTGTGTGTTAGTTGGTAGAGTGCAGAGTTCTACCTGGATTATACATGATAACTATAGGAACATGCTTGAGGACACACAAAGGCATAACTTGTGAATTTTTTCATATGGAGCCATTATTGACATTAAAACCGCTGAAAACATCTAAGTATCTCTTGCAGATATCCACAGATGTCATCTACAAAATTATTTTTCTCATGTTAAAGAACAGCACTTAAACTACTGATTCTTCAGTTTTGTTACTTTATAATCAACCTGCTTTAAATATGGAATGTATTTCAGATTTATGATGTTTTTTAGTAACACCATTTAAACATTCAAATAATGTATTTAAAATATACAAACTTCTTTCTTAAGTCCAGTTCTAATTTAGAGATTCATTTTAAGATAGCTATCATCTATTTCTAGATATATATCCATTAGATATCTATCATGAATATGTACATAGATATATATATATATCGTTAATATATAGATAAATGTCACACATATGAATACACATATATAATATAGTATTCATGTAGTATTTCATTCTCTTTTCTCTGAAATCTAATAAAGTACACTTTTGAAGAAGAACTAAGTTTTCTGAGATTTGATAAACATCCAAATTGGATACAACCCATTAGGCAAAACTCCCAACGTGTGAAACAGATGTTAGGGAGAAATGCTCTGCTTTACATATATACATACATATATATATGATATGCTTGTTGACAAACTGTTAGAAAATCATTTGGATTTCTAAACAAATTAAAATTGATAAGACTTGAATTTGGTATATTTTAAAAACCTACTAGAAATTGTAACCAATATTTCTCATCAATAATTATAGATAAGACATGGGTGCTTATAAACATTAATTATAAATAAGACGGGTGCTCATACCCATGTTTTGGGCAAAGGATAATTTTATATAAAAATAAGGGAATACTTTCAGCGATTGTCATGGATCTCAAAGTTAATTTTTAATATGCAATTATAAGGTGAACTAAAAGTCCTTGGGTATTTTGATTTCAATATTTTTATGGGATTATTAAGTTGCTTTCCTGACACCCTCAAATACTGTTTTAAGTGAAGATTCTTTTCCTTTCAAGGTGCCACTTTCATATTTTTTTCAAATTAGCTTTATTAAAATGTAATTTACATTTATCACAATTCACCCATTTCAAAACTAGAATTCAGTGAATTCTGACAAATACATAGTCATGCAACCACCACCACATCAAGACTCAGAGCACTTCCTCACCCTCAAAAATGGCTTTGTGCTCTTTCGCGGCTGCCTCTCCTCTCAATCCTAATCCTGGGCTATCACTGATAATGCTTTTACTACAGTTTTGCCTTTTCAAGAATTTTACAGTAATGAGTTTTTTCACTTAGCATAGTGATATTGTCAGTGATTTTAACTTCAGCCATTCTGATTTGTGTGTAGTAGTGTCTCATTTGGGTTTTAATTTTTATTTTTCTTATGACTGAAAATTGTTAGAATTTTTTCATGTGCTTATTGGCAATTCATTGATCTTCTTTGGAGAAGAGTATATTCAACTGTTTTGTGCATTTTGTATTGAGTTGTTTCTCTTATTACTGACTTGTAAAAATTTGGATTTTTAAAAAAATATATTCTGCATAAAAGTCCCTGATCCATGTTTTACAAATCTTTTCTCTAGTTTGTTGCTTGCCTTTTCATCATCTTGATAGTGTCTTTACAAAAAGGTTTTTAATTTGAGAAAGTCTATCAGCTTTATTTTTATCATTTATGCTTTCTGTTATCTAAAAAATTAATACCTATTCAGAATGTCACTTGACTTTTAAATGTTAATGTAACCTTGTACTCTTAGGATCAATTGAACTTAATCATAGTGTATTATTTTTAAAAATATATTGCTGGATTCAATTTCCTGGTATATTGTTAAGAATTTAGGTGTCTGCTTTCATGAGAAATATCGGTGTGTAATTGTCTTTAGTGCCTTTACAACATTAGTATCAGAACTAACCTAGATCTCATAGAATGAGTTGGAAAATTTTTCTCCCCTTTTAGTTTCTGAACTATTTTGTGTAGAATTAGTATTATTTTTCCATTAAGTGTTTGGGATAGCTCGGCAGTGAAGCCATCTGCGCATGGAGTTTTCTTCACGGGAAACTTTTGAGCTAGGAAAAGTTTCTTAGCAGATATAGGACTCTCCCGCTCATCTCTTTACTTTCAGGCAAGCTTTGATAATTCATATTTATCAAGAAATTTGTTTAATTTAAATTTTAAAATGTATTTGCCTTAAGTTGTTAAAAATATGATCTCACTATTCTTTTAATATCTATTGGGCCTGTGACTGTCTTCCCTCTTTTATTTTGATATTAATTTGAGTCTACCTTCTGGTTTCATTGACTTTCTCCATTTTTAAATCAGTTTCTTAATCACTTATTTATATTCTTATTTTGTTTTATTGGGGTAAAATTTGCTTAGCATATAAACCTAACCATGTTAGAGTGTGCAATTCAGTGGTATTTAGTACATTGGGGGTGTTGTACAAACATCACCTCTATTTAGTTCC